TTTCTGGGTGTTGACTTTGTATCCAGCTACACTGCTGAATTTGTTGATTAATTCAAGGAGTCTTCTTGTGGAGTTTTTGGGGTCTACCATGTAAATTATCATGTCATCTGCAAATAGTGATAGTTTTACTTCTTACTTTCTTATTCTTATTCCTTTTTATTTCTCTCTCCTGTCTTATTGCTCTGGCTAGTGGTTCCAGAACTCTATTGAACAGGAGTGGTGACAGTGGGCATCCTTGTCTTATTCCCGATTTTAAAGTAAAACCTTTCAGTTTTTGTCCTTTGAGAATGATGTTGGCTGTTGGACTGTCATAGATGGCTTTGATCAGGTTAAGGTAAAGACCATTTATTCCTATTTTCTGTAGAGTTTTTGTCATCAATGCATGTTGGACCTTGTTGAAAGCTTTTTCTGCATCTATTGAGATGATCGTGTGGTTTTTATCTTTGGCTCCGTTGATATGATGTATAACATTTATAGATTTGCGAATATTGAACCAATCCTGCATTTCTGGAATGAATCTAATGTGGTCGTGATGTATGATTTTCTTGATAATTTGCTGCATTCTACTTGCTAATATCTTATTGAGTAAAGTTGCATCTATATTCATGAGGGAGATTGGTCTGTAGTTCTCTTTCTTGGTTGGATCTTTCTCTGGTTTTGGTATCAGTATGATGCTTGCCTCCAGAAATGAGTTAGGGAGAATTGCTTCCTTTTCAATTCCATTGAAGTGTTTGAGGAGTGTTGGTATTAAACCTTCTCTGAATTTCTTGTAAAATTCTGCTGTAAATCCATCAGGGCCTGGACTTTTCTTTGTCGGTAGGTTTTTAATCACACTTTCAATCTTATTAATTGATATTGGGTTGTTCAGGAATTTGATATCTTCTTGACTCAACCTTGGTAATTCATACATATCTAGGAATCTGTCCATCTCTTCTGAGTTTTCTATCTTACGGAAATAAAGATTTTCAAAGTAGATATTAATGATCTTCTGAATTTCTGTGGAATCTGTAGTCATTTCATCCTTTTCATTCCTTATTGCATGAATCTGAGTTCTGTCCTTCCTTTTCTTGATAAGGTTACCTAGGGGTTTATCAATTTTGTTTATTCTTTCAAAGAACCAGCTCTTTGATTCATTTATTTTTTGGAGGGTTTTCTTTGTCTCAGCTGCATTAATTTCTGCCTTAATCTTTATAATCTCCTCCTTTCTTTGGGCTTTGGGCCTGACTTGTTCTTCTTTTCCTAAAAGTTTAAGATGTAGCATTAGGCTACTTATTTGTTCTCTTTCTGTTTTCCTTAT